TTGCTGATTTTGCAGGTTTGCCCACTTACAAAGAATGCTGATTTTTCCTCATCAGATGGTTCAGATCAATTTTTATAAATTCATATGATGTGTTTTTCTGGAATTTTCTTTGGGATTCTGTCTCTCACTGTTAGAATGTACATGTGATTAAAGTTATAGATCGTTGCATTCTTTGTAAGTGGGCAAACCTGCAAAATCAGCAAGGGCTCAAATACTTATTTCCCCCACTGTACATATATATATATACAAAATTCCACACAGAATATAAATAAATATATACATAAGTAACTATATTATATATGTAGGTCTAAAATGAGTGAAGATGGAAGATCTTTTTATTGACTTTAGCCAAACAAATGTTGTTAAGGTAGGGGTCATGTGACCTGAGGTTTCAGATTTGATGAAGTATTACATTAATAAATCCCATTAAAGTCAAGTTACTTCTTAATTTAACAGGTTTCTTTGCCTGGTTTAACCTGTTACACCTGCTGTTTCCATTTAACTCCAGACTGCGTTTAGCCCTGCTGCTGTTAGCCTGAAGCTAACTGTTAGCATCCACCATTACAGTAAAACAGCGGATTCACAGTGATTTTCCTTCATATAAAGCTAAAAAACGGCAGATTTTTCAAATTTCCTTCGTATAAATCCTGAAAAAATTCCAGAAGCCTGGAACAAGCAACCTTGAACCTGGAACCAGGAACCTGAAACCTTGAGCTAGGAACCTGAAACAAGGAACTAGGAACCAGGAACTTGGAACCAGAAGCCTGGAACCTGGAACCTGAAACCAAGAACCTGGAACCAGGAACCAGGAGGCTCAAACCTGGAACCTGAAACCAGGAAACAGGAACCTGGAACCAGGACCCTGGAACCTTGAACCTGAAGCCTGGATTGTCCCAGGAACCAGGAACTAGGAACCAGGAACCTGGAACCTGGAACCTTGAGCCAGGAACCTGGAACCAGGAACTAGGAACCAGGACCCAGGATCTGACCTCTAACCCCCC